GGGGGGGGCAGAGAACAGCTTCTAGTCTCCCTCTCCCCCCTCGCCCCCGCAGCAGGATCCCCTCCCCTTGGGTCTCTGGATCGCATACCCCCTCCCCAATTTCCTCCACTCCTCTGGGTTTGGGGGGTGCCCCCGGGATGGGGAGGGGCCCTAGGCCTAGGTGCCGGCAGCTCATGGGGGTGGGGGAACAGTGGCTCTCTCCCCCTCCCTTGTCTCAACTCTACTCTGGGGGAACCAGCCTGTGCCCCCCTGACCCCACAGCCGGAGTGGGCGTGACCAGGGTGCATGGTGACCCCCACATCTGTCCACCCCTCGGATCTATCCATCCATCTATCCATGTCTTTCTTCCCCCCCACCCCCGCTTCCCCTGCTCAGCACATTGCCCCGCTGACCCCGCCAGCGGCGGGGGGAAAGTCCGGGCCTGGCCCCATTATCAGCATCTCCCAGGGCCAAGTGGGGGCGAAGGTTGGGCTGGAAGGAGGGCTGGCAGTGGTGGAGGCGCGGGATGGGGGATGGGCAGGCAGGAAGTGCCTCCTCCAGCCCTGGGGTGGATGGGATGGGTGGTTAGCAGGGGTGGGGTGGGGGGGGATGTTGCCCTGGGGGAGGGGGCCAGGGCCGGCGCAAACCATTAGGCGACCTAGGCGGTCACCTAGGGCGCTACAATTTGGGGGGTGGCGACCGCGGCGGTATTTCGGCGGCAGGACCTTCCACCGCCTCTGTGGGGGGTGGCATTTCGGGGCGGGACCTTCCATCGCCTAGGGTGGCAGAAAAGCTGGTGGCGCTCCTGGAGGGGGCAGATGGGCCCAGATCCTGTCCCCCAGAGAGGGGGGTAGAGGAAGAGAGAAGGGAGGAGAGGGAGGTACTGGGGAGGGAAGGATTCATGGATTGATGGAGGAGTGCGGGGGACAATGGATGGTTATGTTGATGCAATTACTCAGTGGAACTCCCTGCCACAGGATAATCATTCCCCCCCCCCCACTGAGCCTGTGGGCCTCCCCCCACTAGATCTCACTGCAGGAGGTGCTGAGCAGGGCTGGCTGGGGGCTGATATGGAGCGCAAGGTTTCCTAGAGAGGGGCCTATATAAGACAAAGCTGCAAATATCGGGACTGTCCCTATAAAATCGGGACATCTGGTCACCCTACTCCGGATCCAGGGAGGGGCTGACCCCAACTGGCAGGGCTGAGGGAGCCGCGCTGGGGTCTCTAGAGGATTGGGCTCCTCCCTGGGGGGCAGCTGGACTAGATGGGGAGAAGGAAAGAGGGAGATGGCAAAGGGAAAGAGAAAGAAAGAAAGGTAGGTAGATGGAGGGACAGAAAGAAAAAGAAATAAGATGAAGTGATGATTGAAAGAAAAGTTGAAGTGAAAGAACAAGAAAAAGAAAGATGGAGTGATAGGAGTGATAGAAAGAGAAGAAGAAAGGTGGAGTGCTAAAGAAAGGAAGAGAGATGGAATGATAAAAGGAGAAAGAAAAGAACGAGACAGAGAAGTGGAGTGATGGAAAGAAGGAAAGAACAAGACAGAAGTGGAGTGATCGAAAGAAAAAGCGGGAGCGAGGAGGAACTGAAAGAGGGATGCAGCCAGCACTAGGGAAGTGGCTCTGGGCCGGCCGGGGGAGGAGTCTGGCTCCCCCGCGGGTCGGTCGCTGGGAGCCGGGGCTCCAGCCCCATGTGAGAGCGAGGGAGCTAGCCGGAGACAGGGACCGCCGGGGAGCAGAAACCCCCTGGCAGAAGTAGAACTCCCGCGCTGGAAGGAGGGAGCGAGAAATTCCCCGAGGGAGGAGTGCCGGGCAAGAGATCTCTGTATAACCTCCGGGCGAGCGAGTGAGAGGTGCCGAGGGAGAACTGGGCGCCGGAAACGGGGAGCAAGAAAAGCCCCCGGGGAGAAGTCTCAGCTGGAAGGCGAATATTCCCGGGCTGGCGAGCCCCGTGTAAACCGGAGCAAGGGAAGGAAGCAGGCGGCGAGAAGGAGGAAGCCGAACGGGATCAAACCGGTCTCGGGTTTCCAGGCTGCGCTCTCTCCCCTCCTCCGCCGGGTATAGGACGGAAAAGGGGAACGAGTAAACAAGGCGGGACAAGTGCTGAGATTTCGTGAGCAAGGGGCCGGAGCGGCCGGTTCCAGAGAGCTCGGACTGAACCGCACCAGAACCAGTTCCCAATCCGGGTCTGGAAGGAGCCTAGTACCAGCTGCCGTCAGAACCAGAGTGCCAGGGACAGAACTGGACCAGTTCTAGGGGACACAAGCCCAGAACTGGTGTGAGAGGGAACTGGACCTGCATGTCTGGCACCAGAATCAGAGGCCCAAAACCAGCCTGGTTCTAAGGGTACCAGATACAGAGTGTGAAACAGAACAACAGTCCCAGTCCAGAACCAACTGGGTTCTAGGAGGTTCAGACCGAGACAAAACTAACCCAGTCCCAGGGAATCCAGAACCATCTGGGTTCTAGAGGATCTGAACCCAGAACTGGCCCAGTTCCAGGGACACCAGAACCAGCTGGGTTCTAGGAGATCTGAGTCCAGAACAACAGAGACAGAACCACCCTGGTTCTAGAGGATCGAAGCCTAGAACCAAGAAGACAGAACCAGCTGGGTTCTAGGGAGCCAGAGACCAGAACCAGAACAGGAGGGAGATACACAGAACCGCACCGTTCTAAAAGATCTGAGTCCAGAACCAGCAGGACAAGACCGTTCTGGCTTTAGAAGATCTGAGTCTAGAATCAGCCCAGTTCCCAGGCATACGTGTCCAGTACAAGTGACTCCGAAGCGGCCCAGTTCTAGGACCCAGCTGGCTCTGGATCCACTCCGGATCGGTGCCCAGTGTTCTCCAGCACCGTTTGGTCCAGTTCTCTACCATGGAGGAGGGTGCACGGCGCCGGGGTGGTTCCGAGAAGGCCACGGATGGCCCAGATCAGCCGGCAGAGGGTGGCGTGGGCCTCAAGAAAGAGATTGGGCTAGTGAGCGCCTGCGGCATCATCGTAGGTGAGTGGGGGGGTGCAGGGGAGGAGGGACCCCAACTCTGGTCAATGGGGCCACTGCCCCCCCCCCCACTGTGCCTCGTTCTTTCCTGTCTCTCCGCCTCTCCTTCCCCCTTTCTCCCCCCACCCCAAGCCTGGCTGGCTCTATAAATAGCCTGGAGCTGCCTGTCACCTCATGCTCCTGTTATTCTGATCCGATTAGTGCTCCCAGTGTTGCCAGCCCGCCCCACAGCCCCTCAGCCAGCGAGGGGGCCCCACCGCAGAGCCAGCTGCATCTCAGTGCTGCGCGAGGGGGTCTCTGTATAATTAGCCTGCACCCCCCACCCCAGAGCCAGCCGCATCTCAGTGCCGCGCGAGGGGTCTCTGTATAACTAGCCCCCACCCCAGAGCCAGCCGCATCTCAGCGCCGCGCGAGGGGTCTCTGTATAACTAGCCCGCACCCCCCACCCCAGAGCCAGCCGCATCTCAGCACCACGTGAGGGGTCTCTGTATAACTAGCCCCCACCCCAGAGCCAGCCGCATCTCAGCGCCGCGCAAGGGGTCTCTGTATAACCAGCCCCCGTGCCCCACCCCAGAGCCAGGCGCCCCAGCCTGCAGTAGCAGAGGACGGGGTCGGGGCTGTTTTCCGCTCGGATGGATCGGAGCCATGGAGCGTGAATTCCTGGCGGCTCCATTAATCCTGCTCCAGATGGCGCCGCTCAGCAGGTGCCCGGAGACGCCAGTGCATGGGGGGAGGTGGGGGGCTCAGAGACAGGCCCAGCCCCCTACTCACCCCCTGCACTGCCCCTCATTCCCGACCCACAGCCCCTGCTAGCCCAGCCCTGACCCCCACAGCCCTGCCGGTGCCCCTCACTCCCAACCCGCAGCCCCCTGCTAGCCCAGCCCTGACCCCCACAGCCCTGCCTCTGCCCCTTCCCCCCACCGGGTCAGAGTCCCTTCCCATGGCCTAGTTTATGGGGGGAAATCTAACCTGATAAGATTACAGTTAAAGACTCTGCCCCACTCCTTCCCTTCCCGCATCCCTCCCTCCTCCCCAGCCAGGATCCCACCCACCCCCCCGTGCCCCTTCCCCTGCGGCTACCCCTATTGGGGGTCCCCCACACTTCTCTGCCAGCCGAGAGGCGGGGCTGCGGGTCGGGAGTGAGGGGCACGATTGTTAATGAAGGGCTGGTTGCTAATGAGGGGGTTAGTTCTGAGTCTAGAGACTCCATCCTCCCACCAGGCCCTGGGCCCTCTGCCCCCTTCTCCCCTTCCCTCCACTGCCATCCCCCAGCAAAAACCCACCTCCCATTGCCCCCCCAGCCTTGCACCCCTCCCCCTCTCTTTGTAATGCTGTACCCCCCCCGGAAGCCATGCTGCTCCGCCACCCCCACACCTTGGCTCCAACCCACAGCCGCAGCAGTGTAATTTGCTAATGGAGCCCATGGAGCCAGGAAAGAGGGCGGCTGGCTGGTGAGAGAGACGGGGATGTGTATGAGGGGAGGCGGATGGAGGCACGGCAGGCATAGGGGATGGAATGACATTTAAAATTTTATCATTAGATTCCAGAGATAACACTCCCCTGAGATGCAGGGGGCAGTTCACTCCTCTCCGAGCGTCTGGCCCAGGCTCTCGGCAGACTCAGGCAGCAGAGGGGTAATTCACCCTTCTCCGAGTGACTGGCCCAGGCTCTCAGCAGACTCAGGCAGTGGCGGGGCAGTTCACCCCTCTCCGAGCATCTGGCCCAGGCTCTCGGCAGACTCAGGCAGCGGCGGGGTAGTTCAC